AAAGAGAAATAGACAAATCCACAATTATATTCAGAGGTTTCAATAGCCCTTTTCAGTAATTCATAGAATAAACTGGAATAAAGTTAGTAAGGACATAGAAGACTTAAACAACACCATCAACAAGAAATTAGCAAGGACATAAAAGACTTACTATCATCAACAACAAATGCTTGACATTTATAGAACATTCTACCCAAGAAAAGCAAAATTTGTACTCTTCTCAAAAAAGCCATTAAGAGGGACCATATTCTAGGTAATAAGTATAAATAAATTTAACACAGTTCAAGTCATATAAAATATATTCTCTGACCACTATGGAATTAAATTAGAAATCAATAACAAAGATCTCTGGAAAACACCCAAATATTTGTAAACGAAATAACACATTTCTAAATAACCTATGGGTCAAAAAGAATTCAAAAAGGAAATGAGAAAGTGTTTTGAACTGAATGAAAGTGAGCACACAAATATGTGGGATTACATTAAAGCAGAACATAGGGGGAAATTTATAGCACTAAATTCATGCATTAGAAATGAATGGTCTCAAGTCAATGACCTCAGATTTAAAATTAAGGAATTAGAAAAAAAGAATAAACTAAATTCAACATAAAACAAGGTGATGAAGTTCAAATTGGAAATAAATGACACAGAAAACAGAAAAACAATAGAGAAAATCAGTGAAATCAAAAGCCTTCTCTCAGAGAACATTGATAAAACTGATAAATCTCTAGCCAGGCTGATAAAGGAAAAACAGGGAGACAGAGAGAGAGATTGAGAGAGAGAGAGAGAGAGAGAGAGAGAGAGAGAGAGAGACAGAGACAGAGAAGGCTCTAATTACCACTATTAAGGCTATGAGCAAACATTGCCAATAAACTCAACAAATTGGATGAAAAAGGAAAAATTCCTTAAAAGACACAACTACCAATGTTTACTGAGGAAGAAACAGATAACCTGATCACTCTATATCTACTAAGAAATTGACATTTGATATGATGCTATATAAAGTCTCATGAATCCTCAAGAATGGTACTAGAGTTAATAAATTCAGCAAAGTTGCAGGATACAAGATCAATACACAAAAATTAGCTATTTCAATCCATTAAATACAAAGACTGGACTTTGTAACATTCTGGAAAGAAAATTAATAAAGCTATTCCATTTACAATAACATTTAGAAAGATAAAATATCTGGTAACAAAGTTAACCAAGGAGTTGAAAGACTTACATATTGAAAACTACAAAATATGCCCGAAAGGGAGCACCTGGGTGGTTCAGTCAGGTAAGCGTGTCTTGATCTCACTTCAGATCTTGATCTCAGGGTTGTGAGTTCAACCCCTGTACTGGGCTTCAAAGGTGTTAACCCTACTTAAAAAAAAAAAAAAAAAAAAAAAAAAAGAAAGAAAGCTAACCTATCATACAACCCAGCTATTCCACTCCTGGGTATTTTATTTATCTAAGAGAAATTAAAGCCTATTTCCATACAAAGACCTATACATGAATTTTCATAGCACCTTTATTTGTTAACAGCCAAAAACTGTAAACAATCCAAATGCCTATCAATGGATGAATTATGGACATAAACAGCTGAGATATAGCTACATAAAGGAGTATTACTAGCAATGAAAAGAAACAAATTACTAATACATAACAACTTAGATGAATCTCAAAATGTTTGTGCCAAGAGAAAAAGGCC